GAAGTCTTACCCTCAATCTTGAGCATTGATCCACTTGAATCCAATGGCTCACATTATTAAAAAATTAGAGCCCTTCGATATAATTGGAATCAACGGTCAAGATTAAGAGTGTAATTTACACTGGTGTAAAATGATCCTAACCCATATATATATATATATATATATATATATATATATATATATATATATATATACATGTCTGTATTTTATCATAATCTTAATTATTAATTTTTTAATCAACAATTATAACTCGACATTTATATTCTATACTAATGCTATCTCTTTATAAGAGTCAAATTCTCCCTCGAAGCCAGATCCTTTTCTAATATTGACACTTTAGGAGTTTGTTTTCTGTACTCGGTTTTCTCCTTATTACAGCAAACAACGCACACAGTTGTCCCATACACTATACTTTTGATGCTATGGGCGTTTCCCGTTGTTTGTGACGAATTAGCCTTCTTTTTCTTTCGTATTTTACCAAATGAGCAGACACCTTCTTCCTACTGTATTATCATGTATGGAGAGCATATACTTCAAACTTCAAAGAAGAAAAGTTATGTGCATATTAAAACATTCACAATTTTAATAGCATTGCTCTTCAAATTTCATTTTATGGCCTATTAACTTCACTTTCTTTTGTATACTTCGCTTGTTAGAGAAATAAAAAGATAAAAAATAATTAATATATCATCACCCAAAGGCCAAAGCCTTAAGGTTTTTTTGTTGAATTAATTCTTTTCACGAGCATGTGCAATCAGTTCGATTCTCACTATCCTCCACTTTTAGATAGAATTAAAAAGCACAAGGTAAATCAAACAATGGCCAATAAAGGTGGGAACAGTTTGCTAAGGGTTTGGTCCATACCCCACAAGAGCATGGGTTCAAGCCCCGCTGGCCGATGTGAGGACTTTGTTGATGGGTGATATGTAATGCCTCTTGAAAATTCTCAAAAAGATCGAAGGGATCTTCCCTGACCCTAGTGAGATACTGGTGTGTGTTTAATCTCACTTAACCTTTTATCTACAAAAAAAAAGTGGACTTGTATCATATTCACGCATACAAAATATACAAAATAATTAATATATCATCATCCAAAGCCTTAAGATTTTGGGTTGAATTGATTCTTATCATTAAACTTTTGGGTTAAATTGATTATTTACATCCCTTTTCACATTCATTTTATACAACTTCAAAATTGTTAGAAAAATGATATTAAGATAATTATGAGAGGATAATTTGTGTTAGAGAAATTGCTTTAACAACACATGTAATTTCATAAAATTCACACAATAAATTAAAATATGCAATTACACATAATTAAGTTTACGGTACGAAAATATATAAATGCTATAAGAAAAATCTAAACTTAATGTTAGACACTATGTACTTAAGACAATTTTGTCTTTTCTATGTGCACAAGATTCATTGACGATTATCTCACATGATAAAAAATATTATCTCTATTATTGTGGTTACACTTCCAATTTAAATAACCTTATCAAACTCAGCCTATGTCTAATCAATTATACTAAAGAAAAAGAATGCAAATGTAAAAAATGCTCAAAATCCAATAGGGGAAAAAACTCTAGTATTTAAAAATTTTGATTTTCTATTTACTTTAAAAAAAATATAAAGTCATGATTTAATAACACCAATATATCTGGTCGGGGGTGAAACGAAATATCTTTCCATATCAAACTTCTTATAAAAAATAATAAATTTAAAAATTAATTACAACAAAATTAACCTTTACAGAAGATAACTCAATTGGCTGACATTATTAAGATATCAAAAATTTCCATTTGTGTATAAGTTTACGTTCATTTTGATAATACAAAGAAAAATACTGATACTTATATACTAATGGATTAATTATGTGACGTAATTTACTAGCATGATTTATGAATTATGATATAGTGATTGAACTTTGTTTTTTAAGGGAAATAATAGAAGAAGGTTTTTGCGGGGACCAAATCAAAGTCAAGAACCGCAACTTGAGCCACTTTCGTATAATTAAAAAATTACTTCACAAATATTTAATATTTTAAAATGATCGTATCGTAGATAATTAATTTTAATTTTACTTATAAATCAGTTCCCACTTCGTCAAACATTACCTACTGAAGAGTAAAAGTATATTGATTTTTAAATATTTTATCAAAACTGAGACGACTTAAACAACCGCGACGCGAGCTACTTTCATAAGCTATTTTAAATAATAGATTTAATGTTTGTCATTTTAAATGATATAAGTTATGTCATTTTAAATGATATAAGTTATGTCATTTTAAAAGAAAAATAGACATAGAAAATGAAAATCATGGAAGAAAAAGTAATTGCTTTTTTTAATCTAAATTTTAAATAAAAATATATTATTTTGTGTCTATTTCTCTTTTAAAATAACATAATTTTATATTATTTAAAATGATAAATACTTTTTCATTAAATAATGAAAAAAATGTTTGTCTTTTTAAATGACACAACTTACATCTTTTTATTCTCACAAAGAAGTGGGACCCACACCTTTATTTTTTTTGTCCACTCTCTTTCCTCCTTTATCTATCTCTTTCCTTCACTTAAAATGACATAACTTTACTTCCATTAAAATGATACACACTTTATCCTTAAATAATATAGGAAAAAACTAAAGAAGGCAAGAATGTATCGGGACATGTGGGTGGGAGGTGGGATCAAAGACGCTTTCCATTATAAATTAAATATTGTAGCATCTAAAATAAAATTATATATATGCACGGCCCAATCAATGATTTTAACTTTTAATTCATCAAGTTGATGATAAAATATGCATACATTGCTGGGGATATTATAAACTTATCACGCAACAACCTTTAGAGACGGGCCAACCAAGGAGGACAACGGGTAGGTGGGTGAAACGATCTTTGTAATGCAAAGTAAAGAATAAATATATTCTGTTTTAACATAAATTTCAAAATTAATTAACAGTCTAATATTATTAGTCTCGTAAGGGGTACGCAACCCCGGTCTTGCATTGAGGTGTTGCCAGATTATCACATAATTATTATCAATATTAATTATTTAAATATTAATTATTTTTCTCTTTTCGTGGGAAGAATTCATTTGAATATCAATAATACAGTGAGTCTCATAGTGGTAGGTCTCGTGTAGGATGATGCAAGACTTTCACGAGATTATTATCAATAATAACGATTTGAATATTAATTTTTTATTTTTCTCTTCTATAAATAATACATTCAATATTATTTTAAAAATTAATATTAAAATTGTTTATTAAAATAATAATTAACACCATAGAAAAGAAAAGAAAATCAATCATCAAAATGTCATTATTAATAATAAAATTAAAGTTTCTAATTTTATAAGGATTTTGAAAGATAAATAAAGAATCAAAGTTTGGGTCTTAAATCTTAAAGTTGGTATTAACTCATATTTATTAAAACTCATCAAAAAGTACTTCATTTTATCTATAATTAAATCCTGTGTTGTCAATTAATTTTGATAATATTAAACGAAACCATTGGGGTCTGCCAACATAATTAAGTAAGAGTCACTCAGCGAATCCATGGATCAAATTTAGATAATTAATTTTTAATTTAAATTCTAAATCTAATCTTATTTCCTTAAATTAATACTTCCTAAAGAAAAAAAATATTTAAATTTTTCAAATATTTTATGAAAATTAAGAAGATAAAATGAAAAGGATAAACTTAAACCCAATATTAATTATTGATTCAACTTGTATTTAATAACTCATATTATTAATAAATTAGATCTGCATGTTAGATATATAACGTTAGTCAATGATTGAAATAAGATGTGAGATTCAATATGCTTACATAAGTTGATCCTCCAATCCAAAATATAATGATGCATAGTTTTTTTTAGTTGGTATTTTTTTTTATAAGTGTATCATTCATATTAATTTTATCAACATACAAATAATATATAGCGGAAGATTTCCTCTAATTACACTTTACAATACAGTATAGAATACGCACATTCATAGCTCTAGTGCATGTTTGAAATATTTTATTTTTAACTTATCTTCTCCTTTTAAGTAGAAGTTATATCAAACTCATATTACACTATGTACTTCCCGAAGTACATAATGTAGCCTAATGTACTTCTAGGAGTACATAGTGTAGTTTGTAAATAAAAAGTTTGTAAATATAATCTATCTCATATATATATAGGAAAAAACGTTTGTTCTTTTAAAGTATATAATTATGTGTTATTTTAAATCATAACCGTTGATTTCCGTCAATCAACGGTTAAGATTTATTGGGTCAAACTTATTAATTAGTAATTCGTAATAAAATTCAATAATTCCTAACCGTTGATTGACAAAGTTATATCCTCTAAAAGGACAAACATTATTCCCATAAATATATATACATATATGGACTTATCGTTTCTCAAGTTGTTTGAGACAATGTTATCTCCGGCTACTAAATCATAACTGTACATAGATGGATCAATGGTGATAAAGGAAAATAGAGAAAAAGAAAATCATAATCATTCAAAGGTGAATCAATTAATATAAGGAAATAAATAAACAAAACGACGTAGTTTTAGGATGGCCGGAGATAAATTTATCTCAAGCAACTTGAGAAATATTTTTCCACATATATATGTGGAAAAATATTTCTCAAGTTGCTTGAGACAATGTTATCTCCTGCCACCTCAAAACTACGTCGTTTTGTTTATTTATTTTCTTATATTAATTGATTTACCTTTGAATAGTTATGATTCTCTTTTTCTCTCTCTTTTTTTATCATCATTGATCTATCTTTGTACGGTTATGATTTAGTAGCCGGAGATAACATTGTCTCAAACAGCTTGAGAAATAATAAGCCATGTATGTATGTATAAGCCAACCAATTGAAGGAATTCACATGTCACGATCAAAGTAGTTAAAAGTAATCACTTGTATTAATATAGTATTGATCATAGACTATTGACTTCGATTCGGAAATTTAGGCTCATCTCGGGACGGGAATTGTCCTACAAATACCAGCAAACTTATCCCTTTAATCTGCACACGCACAAAATCAAAAACTCACTGCTTGTTTTGATTTCAACTTTGAAATTTTATTCATTGAATCCATGGCAGAGAAGAGCAAAATCCTAGTCCTCGGAGGCACAGGATACATTGGAAAATTCTTAGTCGAGGCAAGCGCAAAAGCAGGACACCCAACCTTTGCCTTGGTCAGGGAGAGCACTGTTTCTCATCCTGACAAATCAAAGCTTATCGAGAGCTTCAAGAGCTCCGGAGTTACCTTGCTTTATGTATGTCTCTTTCAATCACTATTATTTTATTTTATTTTTTTTAAAATAACTACTTCAGATTTCAGATAAACTATTATGACATCTTTATCTCTTTGATTCTGTAGGGTGATCTAACTGATCATGCAAGCCTTGTCAAGGCAATCAAGCAAGTTGATGTTGTGATCTCTACTCTAGGTGGAGCTCAGATACATGACCAATTGAAGCTCATAGCAGCAATAAAAGAAGCTGGAAACGTCAAGGTGCATAAGCCTTCTTTTACAAAAATAATTTAACTTATTGAAAACTGATATTCTTTTCAGCTGAGTTAAAATAGTTGAATACTTGAATTAGCTATACATATATATATATATATATATATATATATATAAAAAGTGGTGTTTCTTCTGTCATCAGAGGTTCCTCCCATCTGAGTTTGGGTTTGACGTTGACCGTCACCATGCTGTTGAGCCAGTGGCCAGCTTTTTTGGGGTAAAAGCGATGATCCGAAGGGCAATTGAAGCTGAAGGAATTCCTTACACTTACATATGTTCTAATGCTTTTGCCGGTTACTTCTTACCCACACTTGGACAGCAAAATGTCACTGCTCCTCCCCGGGATAAGGTTGTCATTCTTGGAGATGGAAATGTCAAAGGTAACATCCTAGCAAATCTTTTTTACAAACGGTTTTTCTACAAGTACTAAATAATGTACATGCAATTGAATTGCCTCAAGTTTAACGTTTAAAACCGTTGTTTCAGTTATTTATGTCAAGGAGGAGGATATTGGGACTTATACCCTCAAAGCAGTGGAGGACCCAAGAACCTTGAACAAAATTCTGTACCTGAGACCCCCCGGTAATATTTTGACCTTCAACGAGCTTGTCTCCTTGTGGGAGAACAAGATCAAGAGCACCCTTGAGAAAATTTATGTTCCAGAGGAACAACTTCTTAAGAGCATCCAGGGTAAGTATGAACACTCAATTTAGACTTTGCTACTCTCACAAATTCAACTTGTTTATATATGGATCTTGTTTGTCTTTAATTTTTTTAAACCGACAAGGTGAGGATTAGTTCAATTCACTGATAGAAGGGCTTAAAATATACCATCTTTTAAAAGATGGATGCCTAAAAGCATAAACTATTTGGGGATGTGCTCACTCAAGATTCTTTTGGACTCGGAATTGGACAATGCACAAACTCATCTTACTTGAAAAAAATTGAACTAATATACAGATGCACTGTTGTTTATGTTGTGATTGTGTTTTCTTCTCTGCAGAGACTCCTTTCCCTGGGAACTTGATGATGGCTTTAGGCCACTCAATGATGGTAAAGGGGGATTGTACAAACTATGAGATTGACCCTTCTGTCGGGTTGGAAGGTTCTGAACTTTATCCTGAGGTCAAACACATCACCGTCGACAACTATTTGAATGCGTTTGTCTGAAATCTAGGGAATGTGTTATTGCCAATATGTAAATGGCTCCACCCCCAAGTCAATAAAACCAGAGCATCTTGAGTTTAATTGGTCGAGAGTTTGTACTTTGTCTTTCCGTTGTACTTACGTGCTTGAGTTGTTGTCAAGACTATCCTTCCATTTTTTACTTTTCTTAGCTTTATGTTGTTCGAAAGTTCTTCTAATATTGAAGTTTTATCACAATTTGTTTTATCACTCTGTTTCTGTGGGCAATATTCATATTTCGCTTTGTTAGAGCAAACGGCGAGCATGCTTTTACTTGTTTCCTGCCATGAGTTTCGTGGCAAGTCAACATTTTGTCATCTTTAATTTAAATATCAGCATTTCACTAATTTATTTATATATTAATGGTCATAAATTTAAATCTCACAAATTAAATTTCTTTCATGAGCATGAAACATGAAATTCTTAAATAAATTCAATTTTAGTTAATAGGAAACTATGGGATTGTCGGAGGATAATATAAAAAATAAAATAAAATAAAAATCCAATTTAACTCTTTTCTATATGCTTGATATGGACTTGATTTTTCTCTAAAATTCTGACGTGAGTCGACCCAACCAATAATTTCCCTACCTTATTTCTCAAATTAAACTAGTAAAGGACTTATGCCTTGCACATATATTACCACAATTTTGACTGGTTAATTATTGTATGTCAAACTAGTAAAAATATTTATGATATTTTTCAATCATTTTAATAATATTTCATCATTAAAGTTGATTTAGTAGTGATTTTTTTTATTTTTTTTAAAAACTTTTTAAATTGGTCATTTTAATTTAAATAATTTTTCGCTAGAAATTTGTCATATGAATATCTTTTGGAGGACAAAAATAAATTTAAAAGTTATATATGACTTTGTTCCACATACCTTGTTTATATATAGGAAAAAGTGTTTATGAAGTCATATGAGATAAATGTTGTTTCATGGCATTCAAGACGATATTTTTAGAGTTTAGGAAAAAAAAATCAATGATATTTTAGGAATTTTTTTCCCTTTTCACAATACAATTTTTTTTTCAAAATATTGTAAATTATTTTTCTATCTTAAATTATGTAGAAAATAATTAATATTAGAAACACTAAATTCATTTATATAATAATATTATATTCTTAAAATTCAGAAAAAAATATGAAAAAAGATAACAACTAAATCTTATGTTATTGTTAACGAAGAGATAAGATTTTTTATTTTTTTTGAAAAATAAGGTGAAAGATAAATTTATTGACCACTTAATTGTAAAAGCTTTAAATACAATATTAATGATTAATTTTCTGGAAAAAAAAAAGTAGATATTTTATGAAAAATTATGTTATCAATTAAGCGAAGACTCTTAAAATAAAAATATGTTTAATAGTTGGGTATGACTCATACTTCGTATCTGTATGATGACTTTTATCTATGGGATGCAAAGAAAATCAACAGGAATTTTGGTGTTGTTATAAGTCTTTTATTTATGGGATGCAAAGAAAATCAACAGGAATTTTGGTACTGTTATAAGTGGTAGACTTATTTTTTCTCCTTTTTAGTAATTTGGATATAAACTCATTAATAACTATTAATGTTGCTTAGAGTTTTTAAGCATATTTATATTTATAATAATGCTCGATGTATCTAACATTAGATAAATCGAAATAAATGTCCTTTTTTTTTTTTTCTCTCTTTTCTATTTACGATTTCTGTGTGTGATTGTTTGTTCTCAGCACATATCAAGTCTCTCATCCATGAGCCATGAGCCATGAGCCATCTGTCTCTTTGTAACTTTTATTTCACGAGCCTCGCAACTTTTTTTTTAAGGGACAAATGAATGGTCTTATTTGTCAAAAGTATTTTTGATAAATAAAATATGGGAAAAAAGTTTTCGATGTTACTTTAGATAAATTTATCTAATGTTCATCGAAACGACGTCGTTTTGGGGTTGAAAATTAAAAAATTAGAGTGATAAAGACTATTATAACTCTGAAATAAATTAAAATTACAAAAATAGCATGATTTCCGTCCCAAAACGACGTCGTTTTGATGAACATTAGATAAAGTTATCTAAAGTAACATCAGAAAAAACAAACCCATAAAATATTAAATTATAAAAAAAATAAGAATATTCGTGATTATTAACATAAATTTTAAAAAATTATCTTATTTTATAAATTTATTTAATTTTAAGATTAACAAGTTTGAGTTTGGTCCAATTTCACAACTACAATAAAGAAGCTGTGAGAGGAATGTTTGGTGGACGAGACTTTAGTAAAATCTAGAAAGGAATAATTCCTCAAACGTTGGCGCTGGCCACCTTGATCACCGGCGAGGTCACTGCTGCCATGTCCCTTGTTCTGTGTGTTTGCGAATTGTGAATGAGTGAGTTGTCTGGGAACATGGGCGAGGGCGGCTGCTGCATATATAAATAGAGAACGTAAATATTATATTATTTGGAGTATGGTATCTATCCAGTGCAAACAAATTCATATTAACAAATTGGATTCAACGTGGGGGATTACGAAATTTGTCGGCTGGAGCAATGGACGCTCGTGCCGTGGTGTTACATTGTGGTGACATCATGATAAAGACAAACAACTAAAATTTTAGGTTAACGTCTTGAATTTTAGTGTTTTGTAAATTAGATTTATAAATCTTATCATAACGATGGATTTAAGTATTGATCAGAACCATTTACATCTGGTCTGATGATGTGATCTTCTTCTATACAAATGTCTCTCAAAAGATCTTGTGCAACTTTGAGTTGAAGCAACTTCAACCCATTAGTCTTTAATGAAACAAGATAAGAGGTGTACTTGCAAGACACTTTGACGCTCAAGTCAGATTTGGTTCAAACAGGTTTATTCATATAGAAGAAGATGACCAGCTTGCAAGTGGCGAGGCGGTCAAACTTTCTAATTGGTTGTTGTGGGTGACTGAGATAAGCTTGTTGCAAAGAATTGTTTGGCGGTGAAGTTTGCTCTAGCTCGTTGCTTATGTTTAGAGCAAGAGTTGCGAGATGCATAGGTCCGCGAGATGATTTGTCTGTTTTGTCACTTGGAAAGATTTATTTCACTGCGCTTTTATTTTGCACTATGGCCTGTATTTTGCCGGTGCTTTGGAAGTTTCACAACAATACTTGTATCATGCACCTTACATATACATTTCATAACTCATATATTTGAGTGCCTTGATATTTTGCATACTTTTTATTTTGATGTCGCATTTTTTATTTTGATGTCGCAATGGTTTTGATGCTGCTTTGCGAGATGTCTTGAAGTCTTCTGGATGTGATGTCGTTTTGATGCGGCTTGTTGTGTTTGGATGTTGCTTAGAGCGAAATGACTGGAAGTTTTTTGGGATCTTGTCATTCTGAATTTTGACGTCGCATATTTGATGTCTCTTGACTTGTACTTGGCGTCATCTTCAAACTTGAGTTTTTAACCTTTTAGGAGTCTAACTCAAGTACTAGTATAAAGGTTCAGGTGCCTACATACCAGATTTCTTTCAGACCTAAGCTTAAGAGCGTTAGGCTTTTGTAGTAGGTTCATACTTAAGCTTAAGAGCTTTAGGTACTCTTTGTTGGTAAAAACCTAAGCTTAAGAGCTTTAGGTAGTCTTTGTTGGTTCAAACCTAAGCTTATGTATCTAACTTGTTCTCTGAAACATGCAACTTTCATGGATCTCAATGAATAATGTCATATCATTTAGATGATAAGTTCAATAAGATTAGTTCAAATCAATTCAATATAATAACTTTGCAGATATCAACTATAAAACTTTCTAAGTTTATCTGTGTTCCAAGCGAGATTCATGTCTTCGCCTTTCATCATTCATGGATCCCTGCAATCTCTTATGGATTTCACATCAGAGATATTTAAGATAATTCAAGATAAGTCATATATAAGTTAGATAAAACATAGAAAGTTTATCCGCATTCCCAGTGAGATTAATATCTTCAATGTTCATCAATCATTGATCCCTACAGGCGAGATTCATGTCTTTCCCTTTCATCATTCATGGGTCCCTACAACTTTCATGAATTTTCATAGCAGAGACACAAGATAAAATAAGTCTGATCAAAAGAAGTATGATCGTAAGATAATATACATTACAATTTTTCTCACGTGGTCATCCTGCAAGTTATATAATCTTGTAAGAAGTATGCTTGTAACACCCGTATGCACCTGGTGTATTAAACATACATATGGTAATAGCGCAACTCAATAAATGCGGAAGCTAACTTTTTATTTCCAATTATGAAACATATTATATTAACCAAGTGGATTTACTTATTCTTTTTCAAAATAATGTATGTATGTAAATTGCAATATAAACTACACTGAATAACCTCATAATATAATTACGTATCAAGCCACGGAACTACAACTCGTAGACCGGACAATATCTGATACAATATGCAACTCAAGTCTGGAATGAACATATCTTATACCAATGTGGCATGGACAACCCTCATGCTCACCAAATAAATCACATATCTAAAACAAGTCTCAAACCATAAAGCCATATAACAATAATAAAGCATAATCATATCCAGATATGACAGTAAAGCAGCATGCATAATATTAGCTCAACTCCGACCTCCTGCCGCCAGAGGTCTCAATCTCAGAGGTACCTGTACCTAAAAATGTCCCCCACACGGGGTGAGATCTCTAAAAAAAATCTCAGTAAGACAAGGGGTCCTCAAGGACTCCTCCACCCCAAGCTCACTTACAAGTATATATACAAGTTCAAAACATTAACTGCGATGCACGTTCATGTTAGGGCAATATAGCTATGACAGTATATTCAAATGCTCAAATACTCATGTACTACAGTTCATATCTCATGTGATGTATGCAAATGCGGCTACCTTGGCCACGGAACAAGATAGGATTTACACACGTCTGCGACCTATCTAAACATAAGGGTCGCAGCCTTATGCCTTACACACCAGGGTCGCAGCCTAATCGTGTAAGTAATCAACATCACATCCATACATTACATTAACAGGCATATCCACATATCTCAGGCATATATATCAATGCATACATCATTTTCATAAAAGCATACCATGCATATAAACCCCCCTCCCATGGAGGTCGGTGGAACAAGCAACAGATCAATCCGAGGACCAGAAACTCACCTGACAAGCTAGTATTACTAACTAGAAGTCCACACAAGTCCACAGGTCTCCAAACAGCACATTCACAGTCT